AGCTTTTCTGGTTCTCGAGTTAGCGATTTTCCCGCCACAACTTTGAGGCGCTCGTACGCGGGGCCTGGACGTGCTTGAGGGTTGGTACCGCGGTCCTGGGGTGTCACTTGGCCGGAGAACCCACTTCCAAAATTTTGGCGCCGTGCTTGGGTGCCAAGTTGAAATACCCGGACAGACACACACACATACATACACATACACACACATACACACGCACGCAGGGGTCGTCACAATATTGCATATTATGCAAAAACGCATAGCGATAGAGCTGCGAATGGAGTGAGAACATGCTTCAAAAGTTTCAATCCACTAGTTCGCTGATTGTCGAGTTGAAAGTGAGTGACAAATGCGAACACATGGACACGCACATGCACCAATACACGCGTACAAGCATATACACAGAGGGTGAAACTTCACAGATATGTTCCATGGCCGCATCTAATTCAAAGATTTCAAACTCAGCCTTGACGCACTCCTTGATCTCACGTATGCGCACGTCAAAGTTTAAGCTGGCATCATATTAACTCCAGATTTAAGCTGAAAAAGAAGTTGTAGGAAGCTGTAATTTTGCAGTGTTGCTTGTCAGCTGATGTGCTCGTGAAAGTAAATTTAGCTTTCTACCTCCTCTGCATCACACGTTCAAACACGTGAAACTCCCACGAAGCACTGTTGTAACTTCAGAATTGAAGCAGCTAGAGGACTGGAACTTTGCGAGCATAACTGACGGTAGCGTTTGAACAGATGGACGTAAAAACAACTTTCACTTCCCTTTCATGTCTCACGTACCAACACGTGAAACAGCACTCACGTTGCTTTTGAGCAGGCGCACGTAAAACAGCATTCACGTTGCAACCCACTTACCGAACACGTGAAGCTTGACGTAACTCCGCAACCGAAACAAGTAGAGTGCTAAATTTTTCGAGCACTGACTGAGAATCATTGAAATAATTTTTAACCGTCGTGGTAGCTACTCTCAGTTCTATTAGCTAGAAGCATCTGTCGGAAAAGACAATGCCGTTAGCAAAAAAAAACCTGCGGGAGAACTGTGCAAAAAATGCATCTTCGCATCGGCAGTCGGTTCGCTGTCGATTAGTTTTTGCATACACGCAAATGCAAAAATGCATACTGGCAGGAGGCTGTCTGCAAGCGTGTCTGTGTCTTCGCACTTTTTGTCACTCATTTTCAACTTAAGAACCCGGAAAGTAGAAGACTGAAAATTCGGGTTTATGTGCCTACACGGTGCGCTACCGTCCCGTTTTAATTTCACCATCCGTGTACGCCTGGGCGTCGCTTACCAGCGCCTTAAAAAAATGTGCAGATTTTATGGTGAGAAAGCGACCTCGGTAACCAGCCAAGGTAGAGAGTTAAAACTTTGCATGATATTCCCTGTGCATGTTTGAGCCAAAGATTTCAAATTCAGCCCTCAGGTGTCCGAGGTCCACGCACAGGCGCGTGAAAGATTTGACGGAAGAATTGCTAACTCGTTAACCAGAAAAGCTGGAAGGCCGAAATTTTAAGAAGATGCTCCCCGCCAACATACAATTTAAAGATTTCAAATTCGGCTCCCTGTATAGGTGGGATACCTTTGTGTCGACATGTGAAAATTTTGGCGGGAATATTACTAACTCGGAAATCAATTCGGGAACCAGAGAAGCAGGAAAGCTGAAATTTTGGGAGAATATCCTCCATTAAAGTGCAACTTAAATATTTCAAATTCAGCCTCCAACTGTGCGTGGTTCTCACGTACGGGCAATTAAATTTTTGGCGGGGAAATTTCTTTTTGAACAGCTAGGTTGCTTTCAACGAACGACCGTTAAACGAAAATTGTTCATTTCCTTTATGCAAAATTTACGATGATTTACGCTAGTAAGCGCCCAAGGTATGCGTAAAATTATAACCATTCGTGCAATCAACGACCTGCTAATTCAAACCTGATGCAAAAACGCATAATCGCATCGGCAAGCCTTTTGCATCTCAGCCTGGATTTTTGATTCAGATTCGAGCTACAAAAATCGCGGTACTAGATTTTTATGCGTTCTAACACATCTATGCCAGCACAAAAACGCACATGGGCGAGGGGCTGCCAGTATGTGTGTGTTCGCTCTCCCATCGCCCATTTTTAACTCAGCAGTCGGTGAAGCTATGAAGCTGAAACGCATGTTCTTGTCCCACGTGCTATGCTTTATTTTTAAAATTATCGATCACTTACGTTTGAGTCTCATGCTAAAAAAATAATGTAATTTTTTTGGTGGAAAAAGGATTTCAGGAACAAGACAAAGTAAGCTGATACTTGACTGAGATATTCTACGCCCTTATTATGAGCGAAAGATTTTGAATTCGGCTTGGTCGTACGCATAAATCATGCATCCGGGCGTGTCAAAGTCCGACTCTCCAATGGCTGGCAAAATGCCAACTTGGTTTTAACTAGCCTGATCGGACTCCCCGAACTTTATGAGGATACTTGCTGTCTGTGTGTTAGTTCGTGCACGTGAAATGAGTTTTGGCGTTCGCCTGTACTACGCGCACGAACATGTCAAATTATTTTTGGTAGAGAAACAGTATTGGGAGCTAGCTGAGCTAGAAAGCTGAAATTTTTTGCAAGTACGACGACGCATGTGAGTTCAAGCAATTTCATAACAGCATGAAATCGTACGAAAAAGCAAGATCGCACCGGTCAGCCGATGCTCGCCTCTTTTGATCTGTCTATCCCTGAACCTCAGCCGTTTGCAGCTTTCCTCCAACCCGGCCGAGCCGAGCCGAGTCGAGTTTTAGCAGTTGCTCATTAAAACCATAAGGTTTTTGCATCCATCCACGGTAAGCCTGAAACAGATAACTGTAAAAGCATCTGATCATGACAGTCTCCTGTATGTTCCATTATTTCTTAATCGATTTCTTACTGGTACATCGGTTTGGAAAGTTCATGAGCAACGCTTGCAACTGCTAAGAATAATTTGCCAAGTAATAAATCACACAATTTTCTTCAGCGCTACATCGTTTCTACTTGTCATTTGAAAACAGTATCTGTCGTGATTATATCACCGAAAAACTTTTCAAACGTATGGAGAGGCTCTTGGTGCCAGTCGTTCTTAAAAAGTCGCTTTACAACGATATTTTACCAGAGGGATCCTTCATCGCTGCAGACGATTTCAAATCGCCACGCGAGCTAGCTGTTTATTTGGATTATCTGGAGAATAATAGAACTGCCTATCTTAGGTAATGCTTTGAAGCAAAGTAGCATATTAGAAATAAAATCTATGTTTTCTTGAAAACCCACAGAATGATTTTTGAAAGGAAACTTGATTTCTAATATGCGAAAAATAATTTGAAACTGTTTGGCCTGGAAGTAATTACTCGACTTGGTCACTTTTGCTGACTCACGTTTTCCTTTCATGGCAGATGTCAAAACATTCTTCTGGTAATTATTCGCGTCCTGGGTACTTTGTTTCCCCACCAGAGCCTGCTTTTCTATCTGTATTTCTTGAAATTCGTTCTTAATTAACATAAAAAAGCACAACTGAAAGTCAAAATTGCTTTTGCTTTCGCATTTTGTAGCAGAATTGGGCGTACTTATATCTAGTGCCAATAATGACAGAACAGTCGACAGCTGTCAACAGTAGTTCCATCTTTAAAGGAATTAAACAAAACGGGTAATATGAGCTTTAAGCAATTTGAAATCAGGCTAGAAAGGATTGTTGTAGTCGAACAAACCAGTAGAATATCGGACTGTTTCTCCCGGTTGCGACACTTGCCAAACAATTGGCCAAAGCACGGGCTGCTCGTGCAAAGATAAGTTTTTTGCATAGTTCCCTGCAGGTATTTGTCGTAACGACACTGCTTTTT